ACTTGACAATGAAGCAAGTAAGTTGTTCAATTAAGTAATTGTTGTTTGAGTGTTTTTAAAATGAACGGGAAGTTTTCTTTTAACGAGCAAGTTGACATGCTGTTAGTGCTAGGTTTTTGTGAAGGAAACTGTAGAAGAAGTGTAGAAGAATATCGTAGAAGATTTCCTAACCGTATCATTCCCCATAGAGAAACATTTTCTAATGTTGAAAGACGAGCTAGAGAAACGGGCAAGTTTCTCAATAATACTCGAGAACGTGCTGTCGCACTCAGGCCACAAGTTGAGGTAGCCATTTTAAATGCTATTCAAGATGATCCACATATTAGTACTAGGAATTTATCTCGACAAATTGGTATATCGCAGAGTTCTGTGCATCGAGTTATCCGTCGCAATCTACTACACCCTTATCATGTACAAAAAGTCCAAGAACTTTTACCCGGAGATTTGGTTCAACGTGTCAATTTTTGTCAGTTTATTCTACACCAAGATAATAACTTCCAAAAGAAAATTCTTTTTACGGATGAGGCGACTTTCACTCGCAGAGGTATCACAAATCTCCATAACTATCATGGATATTCTGACGTAAACCCACATGCAATAACTCCTCGGCATTTCCAACGTGAATTCAAAATTAATGTTTGGATGGGAATTATTGATCGATATTTAATTGGTCCTGTTGTTTTACCGAATCGGCTGAATGGTGAAAATTATTTAGAATTTCTACAAAACACCCTTCCGTATCTACTTGACGAGGTACCTTTACAACTAAGGTTGCAACATTGGTTTATGCACGATGGAGCACCGCCTCATTTTAGTATGAACGTAAGAAATTTTTTAAACCACCAGTATCCCAATAGATGGATAGGAAGAGGAAATAATTGCCCACAACGTTGGCCCCCAAGATCACCTGACCTGAACAAATGTGACTTCTTTCTGTGGGGAACGTTGAAAGAATTTGTGTATTCTTCGCCCGTTGCGTCTCAAGAAGAATTATGGAATCGCATTATTCATAAATGCACATCTATTAGGAATAATCAACAGTTATTAGATAGGGTGGATTTTAATTTTCGAAGAAGAATAAATTTATGCGTAAGAGAAAACGGCGATCATTTTGAACAATTTCTTTAATTTATCGATAAACAATTGTTTGTTCTGGTTGTTGTTTAAGTTTTTTGTGTTTATTTTGGTTAGTTGTTAATCCCAGTTTTTCACATTTCAGTATCTGTACTTACTTTAAGTTATTTTGTTACGTATCTAAATAATAATTTGCCAGCCAATTCCTACTGATCACATTAAATGACCTACTTTCTTGTTTGACGTTTATTTTCATAGCCAACTTTTGAATTTTCGCTGATTTTAAATAACACACCTAGAGCGCGCGTTTTAAGTTATTCGAGTTTTTGATGAAAATGATGAGTTTTTTCGAAAAATTACTAGAGTAAGAAAAGTTTAAGAATTGAATTGCCCACAAAACAAAGCAAAGATTTTTAAAATCCATCAAGGGTTAACAAAATTCTGTTCAATATTAATGGTGCGCCACCCAGTATACCCCCTTTACAAATTTCAATTAAACTCTAGTTACTGTCAAGTAACGCCCTAAATACATCCACAAAGTGTACCAAATTTGGTTGCTTTAAGTTCAAGAATAACGGAGATATTGTTTTTTTTCAAAATTTATAACTTCACTTTCAAAGCCTATAACTCCTTAGGGAAGCAACTTGGTATAGAGGTAAGTTGCGTTAAATTGCCATATTTTGGGACCCCCTATATGCCCCTGCTCTATGTCGGTTCTTATGTGAATCACCCTGTATTTTGTGTTGTAAAAGAGAAAAAATTAACATTTCGTGTTTTAATAGTTATTTTTTTAATTTAATAATCTATGTGAAAAAAAAAATTTTTAATAGACTTTAAAAAATTGTTATATTAATATACTTATTTAATTGAACTTATATTTGTTGTTCCTTTAATACAATAAATACAATTTACCTATCTCCAATTCATCACTTTCCGTATCCATATACCTAGGGTCCGATTACAATTAGAAAAACACCGCTACGTCATAACGATTATTTCGAATTTCCAATATACAGGGTGTCCCAAAATTAGACGGTCATATTTTAACAGCGTAATCTACATCCTACAAGTATTAGAAATTAAAAATTAAAAAAAACCGAATTCAAAAACGTGCAGATGCCGTCACCCAGAGCTGGGACGAATCCTCGAAAAATGGATTCGAATCACGAATCCGAATCACGAGATGTGATTCGAATCACGGATCCAATGTTCGAATCCTTTTTCAAAAAAAAAAAGGATTCGAATCAAGTGATTCGAATCCTTTTTTTCGGATCACGGATACGAATCACGAATCAGTGTTATACTGTGATAATAATTATATTTGCTTTCGAAACTAATACTGTTTTATACCTCGGTCCTAAAATATTTAACGCACTTCCGGTGGAATTTTAAAACCTAATTTCGATAGGTCTTTATAGATCTAAATTGCAATAATGGATATTAACTAAACAAGGATAAATATTTTAAGATTTTATTAATTTAAATATAACTAAAATCATTTAGCAAAAAAGAACTTTACTTATTTGCAATTATCCAATTATTTATGTATATGATAATTATTTATAAAATATTTAATGCTGTAGCTAGTTTGTATCTATAATAAATAAAAAAAAACAAGTATTAGAAATTAAAAATTTAAAAAAACCGACTTCAAAAATGTGCAGATGCCGTCATCACATCTTAACCAAATTTATATGGAACCATCCCTGAGGTACCCCCTTACTAACAAAAAAAGAATCATATGAATCGGACAAGGTGGTAAAGCATTATCGCTAAACATACATAAAAAATGAAGAGTTTGAGGATTTTGTCATGGACCCAATTATTAGATTTTAACCAAATTTATATGGGACCACCCCTGAAGTACCCCCTTTCTAACAAAAAAAGAATCATTAAAATCGGACACCGTGTTAAAGAATTATCGCTGAACATACATAAAAAAAAAATATTGCGACGAATTGAGAACCTCCCTCCTCCTTTTATAAAGTCGGTTAAAAATAGGAGTAAAAGTTTATATAAACATAGGTCCGAAAACGTTTCGTTTTCGAGATGCAGGGTATTACAAGTGAAGTCCAGATGAAATATTTTCTAAAATTTCTTTAGTTACCGGTTTTTCAAAGTTAAAAAAAAATAAAATTTCTAATTCTACAGACCTACTAATTATTGTTTACACTTTCGAATAAGGTAACATGCTTTTCTCTTGAAAATGGCGCGTCCTAGCGAGATGCAACAAATGTAGCTTTATTATACAGAAAATATTGGTTTTCCAAATTTTATAGTCAAAAAATCTGATGTGTCCAACACATGACTTTCCTATCTAGTTATTATAGGCTTTTTCTGGTTATTTTGTACAACTTATTGCAGTACCTCTATAAATGTTTAGAGGATAAACTAAATATATACATTTTCCACATACATCTATCTACCTCGAAACATTTTTCTATAGTTATTCATTGAAAACGAAAATACTGAAAAATTTAAATTTAGCAATTTTCCTACAATTTTTCCATTACGGTCCATTTTAGAAAAATCATGTATAAACAAAAATTATAGAGATCGATATCGCAAACAACTTTTAGTTTAGTTTAGAATTTTGCACATTTTGTTAAATTTCTCGAATACGGACCATTTCAGGAAATTTTGACATAAAGCAAAAATTATAGATAATAATATTAGAAGTAACTTTTATTTGAATAATTATCTTTTGCAAACATAAATAACAGATACATTCAATAAAATATAAAAACGGCTTCCCATAAAGTAACCCCCCAGATGTTCCGACTTTGTCCAAAATCTATATATTTCACGTCAGGCCGAAATAAAACTTTAGTTTAAAATTTAGTGTTTTTCTGTGTATCGGTTTATGAGTTATGGTGGATATAGACACATAGACACACACGGCAATTTTACCCTAAGCTCCCCCTAAGTTACCCACCTAAGAAGATGATCAATAACTGGGGTTTAGTCCAATAAATGAAGCGTAAAAAGGTAAGTATTTGTAACAAATTTTACCTAATTATCTTTAAACGTTTAGAAAATATTTACAAAAGTGTGGTATCAGGACTTCACCTTTAACACCCTGTATCTCGGAAAAGAAAAGTTTTCGGACCTGTTTATATGAACTTTTACTACTACTTTAAGATGTAGATTACGCTGTTAAAATATTACCGTCTAATTTCGCAACACCCTGTATATCATCTATAACTATCAATAAATAAAAAATATTTGAGTTGTTTGGTTTAAAAATAGTATTCCTACATTCGTATATTAACAAGCCACTAACCTCCAGTAGGCGGCGATAGCCAACGAATTGGGCATTCCAAACTGAATGCCTACCAGTGGGCTTTGACGGGATATGATATTGCAAAATTATGGCAACCCTGTAGACCTGGTGATTTGACAAGGTCAATGAAATAGATAGTTACATAGATTGATTATCCATATTTTTCAAAATAAACATAAGCGTATGCCTTGAAGTAAAAATGTAAGCAATTATTTTTTTTTAAATATCTGAAGGCTAAAAATTGGTTTTAAAACACATTTTTGCTAAACCGATTCAAATTAATAAACATTTGCCAGGCAATATGGCCGCTCGTAAACGACCAGCTTTGAGCAATCTATATAACTATATATGTATCATTGACCCTGTTAATGACAACATGACAACAGGGTTGCCATATCTAAACTGTCATTACCCACTGGTAGCCATTTGGACAGGTCGTTGGAATGCCTAATTATACCTGAATTGTAATCGGACCCTTCAGGGTACGACACACAACATTGCCAAATTTATGTAGCGAACAAGGTTCCAAATACTTTAAGGGGTGGTCATGAGATTCGTGCGGTGTGACGTCAGAAGGGACTGGCTTGCTCTTAACAAAATAAGCCTCAAAAGAATTTAAAAAATATTCTATAATTTTTTTATTTTAAAAACACGTTATCTTATCCTATTAGACATTTTAGATAATAATAATACAAAATAATCACTACTTGATAATTATTAGTGTTTATGTAAGGCACCATTGATAATACCGGTAACGATGGGACCAAGAATGGATGATAACAATTTGTTATTTTCATTAACCAAAGTTACGAAATTGTCATTGAGTGCTGTGTTCACTAAGGCACTGAATTCGGGATTGTTCAGGAGTCCATTAAGGTTAAACTGAAAAAAAAAAGATAAATATAATTTAATATTTTATTTAAAAACATCATAGAATTAAAGAGTATCACGTATTTTATTTTTCTCTCAAGCGGATCTACTGTTTAAGGTGAAGAATGTGTATAAATTAACATTTTATAAAACATTCTTCTTAGCCATCGTCTAGTAGATACAGGCAATCTTAGATAAAATAAAAAAACATTTGGACTTCATAGGTATTAGAAAAACATTCCATATAGATTAATTTTTATCAAAATGTTACAAAACTACAGGGAAAGGGAAATACTATCGAAAAAAACGGCGTTTTTAGCTGGTATAGCCGAAAGAAACAATTTATCGTATTTTAAAATAATGTCCGAAAGAAAGGAAGAAATGAATTTTTATCTTTTCGATTAGTGTACAGTATGTACCTCATTGTATTATCAGGATACAGAACATACATATTACAGTTACACACTAACAAAACATCATTATTTAAAAAAAGTATTTATAGTCCATAATCCATAAAAATTTGAACAATTTTTTATAGATCGCAATCAAAATACCAAAGAAAAAAGGTGAAATTCTACACACCAGAAGATCTAGCAAAAGCAATACAAAGTATTAGAGAAAATATATATTCTGTTAAAAAGGCAGCGGAAGTTTTTCACGTTTCCCGATCTACACTAATTTCTCGTACCAAAGAATGGAAAAATAGAATACAATCAGCAAAAGAAAACCTGGTCGTTCTGTAGACTTGAGCCCCGAAGAAGAAGAAACGTTGGCGTTGTATTTAAAGACATTAAGTAAATGGGGTTTCGGTCTTTCCCGGAAAGAGATACTGATACTTGTTGGAAGATATGTGCAAGGAAATAATGTGCAAACTCGTTTTAAAAACTCAATACCTGGAAAGGACTGGTTTTTGGGTTTTACAAAAAAACATGGTCTTTCTTGTAAGAAACCTATAAAAAGACCAATTATTAGAACAGAACTGACGATGCCGGAAATAATTTATAGTTTTTACGATTTGTATGAGTCTACATTGAAAGAACTGGGATTACTTGATAAACCAAGCTAAATTTTTAACCTCGACGAGACATCATTATGCTCAGACCCATCAAATACCAAGATTGTATCAGCAGCTGAAGTGGTTCGATGTTTTGGATTGGTTCTGAGGTTTGAAAGAACACACACTGGGTATAGAACTATTTATATTGCCAAATAGGACAATAAAAAAAACTTTATATTTTACAAACAACGAAAGGATAACGTTATTGCTGTCACGTTGAACCCTCATTGCTTTTCAGTTCAGACTTCAGACGAGGCTGCCTGCTTTGATCGTCTTCCACGCCACACGTAGCTCTCGCGCACATATGTTCGTGTCACTCTTACATAGGCGCGCTTTTGGGACGGACCACCGCACAGCGAATCAATCTGTGTTTCGTCAAACTGCTGATACTGGTAGGACTAACACTTCGATATTATTTACAATTTCGGCAAATGGTGACAAGATGCCTCCATTTATCTTGTATCATGCAAAGCACCTATAAGATATTTGGATGCCTGAGGAAGATTATCCAAACACTGGATAAGTTGCTACCCCACGCGGATGGATGACAGAAACAGTATGTTTTAACTGGTTGAAAAAGATTGCCCAGAAGAACGGCATCTTCTTGTTATTTTCGATGGTTATTCATCGCACTCATCTTTGGATCTAATAGAATTAGCTATTAAAGAAAACATTTGTCTTCTCAAACTACCTCCGTACACGAAGCATATTCTACAGCCATTGGATTCGCTCGCGTTTGGTGTTTTAAAAAAATCATGGGATGAAGATTTAACTGTATGGTAGCGAGAACACTTTGGACCTCCCCTAACCAAAGCAGACTTCTTCATTTTAGTAGGAAAAATTTGGACAGAATTTCCACAGAAATTATTGAAAAAATCATTTCAGTTGACTGGCTTATTTAATCATAACAATCCAGTTAACCCTGTAGATAGAACTGTTCTTAAAGGATCAACCTTTAGACCAAATGATCTTCAAGAATATTTCAAAAAACAAATTACAAACAATGCTCAAGAGGAAGCTTTACCAGTTTGTGACGTTGAAGTTGAAGAGGAAAGAAACTTATGGTCAGGAATGGAACCGGTTCCATCTACTAGTAAAAGCCCAATTCCTTGTATTAGTAAAGGACGAATTACCTCTTTTGAATCTCTGCTAATAGACAAGATTGCAAAAAAATAGCAACAATACCGTCGAGATACTTACTAGAGAAGATTATTTATTACAGTTGAAGAAACAGAGCACTGAAAAGAAAAATGTTACAAAAAAGAAAATCGTTGAACAAGATTCAGAGAGCGAAATAGAAACTGAAGTTGAAGAAATAGAACACGAAATATCGAGCAGTAGCGACACCGATGAAATTATAACTCTCAAACATTTAGTAGAAACTGAAAAAGAGGAGTTAAATTATGAAAAGGAACTGGAAAACCCTAATGACGTTAAGGAGGGTAGCTGGGCCCTAGTTGATTATAAAACAACCAAAATTACGAAAAGGTATGTTGGACTTATATTGGAAGTTTCTGCAGAGGAAGATAAGGTTAAGTTTTTACGAATAAAAGAGAAATAATATATTTATTTGGCCAATTTGGCCTACTGAGGGAAGACGAAATGAAAAGATATTTTTAGTGAAGTTTGATAGACTTAATGATTATTAACTTTTTTTTATTATTTTTTCCTTTTTCTTACAAAACAAAGATGTTTTTTAGTTTTGTGAACTTGGGTATAAATATTTTGTTTCTTACTTATAGAGCAAATACTTATTTTGTTATAAAACAGATGTTTTTTTAGTTTTATATACTTACTCTTATTCATAGGCATTATTATTTTGTTCCTTATTTGTAGTGATAATACTTATTTTGGTAAAGACTTTCAAATTTATACCATTAAAATAAGTCGTAATTAAAACTACCAAGCTTTATGGATACAAATGTCAATTTTGGTAGTGTATCATGATTAAAACCAAAAAGTGTCACAAATGGAATTTTTGTAGGGAATTGTGACACCTGACATTGTTTTACAAAAATCAAATTCCAAAAAATGTATACATATTTTCCAATGAAAGCATTATGTGTATTAAATAGGTAAGTAAGATGATTGGTTTGACGTAGAAATTTAGACCGTTTTATTATTTTTAACAAATTTACAGGTTTTTTCTGAAAAAAGAAGAAATCTATGTCTATAAAATTTAAAAGAATGTACTTACCGTAGCAGTTTTAAGTGTAACAAGAACTTGTAAATCTGAAACTGTGATGTTAGTTAGAGATTTGGTGCTAATTCCTCCAGCTATGTCGAGTTGTAATCCAGTAAAATCGATACTACAAAAAATATAATGAAAATTAGTTATTATTAAAAATTGATATACAGTATGATTCAAATCAAATGAATAAATTCATTATAATGGAAGTAGTTGGTTTTTCGAAAAAATGCTCGGACAGGTCAATTTTGTCTACTAAAACAGCAATTTTTCAAAAAGAAAGAAAGACATTTTTCCCCTCATTTCCCATTTTTTGAAGTCGAAATTTATATACAGAGTGTACAAAAAGTAACGTGTAATAATATAAGCCTTTATATTCATTTATTGGATGCATCCAAACATATCATACTGTTTATAATTTTATATTTTTATAGTTTGCCAAACTTTTGTAATTCACTTTTGCTTTGACACCCGAAGTGTAGACATCGCTGTCACTAAAAATTTAACAATCTTTTGTTATTTGGGCATTACTAACACCATCCTGTGCATTTTCAACCTTTTTCTTCCTCATATTTTTAGTAAGTAATTGTATATATAAACACATTTTTGTGATTTGCCTAATAGAAAAAAAATAGAAGTTAACTTAACCTCCAACCCACATGGAGTTGGGGGTCAAGGATCCGCCGGATCCTCCGCCGAGGGTTAAAAACTTGTATTCGACCACAAACTCGGGCCCCTTCGAAGTGTATGTCCAAGGAAAAACAAATAACCTAGGAAATTTTCATACACTAAGTATAGCAAACACTATTTTTAATTTGAGGCTGAAGGATATTCTCAAAATAGTAAGAAAAGGCAAAAATCGTATACGTGCGATCTTTACCAATGCTCAAGCTGCCAACCAATTTATAGAGCAGTGGTCACCAACCTCTCAATGTGTTGAGCTACTTTGTTAATTTTGGAATAAACAGCGAGCTACCCACACGGAAGCCACGTAACGCAACGTAAATGAAATAATCCACAGTTAATTTATCATTATATGTATTTATTTTACTATTTAACTGGTAATACATAATACATAGGTACTAATAATAAACTAATAACAAAATAACTAATATTACTAGTACGTACTTGTTCATAGCTACATTCCTACCTACTAAACGAAGGTGTTTGAAAAATAAACACAAACTTTTATCCAGCCACAACGGCATGTCACGTAAGATTTAAAAATAGTTAATAATAACAACAAAAAAGTAACGCACTATCATGAACATAAACATTGAAAAATAAAAAAGCACGTTCAATGAGAAGGCTGACACTCAGACTCATCGATATTTTTTTTAATGTTTGCAGTTTAATTTGATACAGCCATTCGAATACAATTATCCAAATGTTCATCTGTAAGTCGATTGCGATATTTGTTCTTAATAAACTTCATATTGGAAAAAGAAGATTCACACAAATAGGTTGAACTGAATAATGCTTTCACTTTCAAGGCAACACGGCATAGAACTAAATATTTGTCTTTACTTACAATAGGCCAGATACATTTGGTACTTGAGACTAACGATTTTAAGGCTAAATCATTTTGAAACTCAATTACTTCCATTTATGTTGCAGCGATGTCTTCGCCAAAGTTCTGCATAACACAAGTTGCAAACTTTTGGATATCAATTTCCATAAAGGGTGAAACAACACACTGCGCTACTAAAGCCATTTCGTTGAAATCCTTAAAACGATTTTTGAAGTTATTCTTCAGGATAGAAACTATTTCTACTGATATTTGCTGTCATAGAGTTCTAATGGATTTTGAGATATTTTTTCTGAAAGAATAGGAAAATGCTTGGCATCGCTGTTAATTAGGTTTTGTTCCCAAAACTCTAGCTTTTTGATAAATACTTTTATATCAGAAATAATTTCCGCTAGTTCTTGTCTCTCCCCTGAAGCTGCAAATTAAGTTCGTTTAATTTCTCTGTAATGGTTACGAGAAAACCAAAATCTCTAAGCCAGATTGAATTTTCTAGTTCCGGAGTCGGTTCATCGCGTTGTTTGAAAAATTGAACTATGCCAGATAGGACAGCATTAAAACGTTTCAGCACCCGTCCTCTACTTAACCATCGGACTTCAGAGTGAAGGAGTAGGTCTCCGTATTGACAGTCAACTTCATCGGCCAAGGTTTTGAATAATCTTCTTTGTAACGCTTGAGCTCTAATCTTGTTCACAATTTTTACCACCAGTTTCATAACGTTGTTTAGTTTTAGGAAATTTCCACATAATGCTTGCTGGTGGATAATGCAGTGGTAACAGAGAAATTGCGGAAAAGTTTCATCTTTACGACATAACGCCACCAGACCCTTATCACAACCCACCATAGCTGGAGCGCCATCGGTTGTCAAGCCTACCATTTTAAATATTGGAATTTTCTCGGAAGAAATAATATTTTTTAACTGAGAAGTGTGTCCTTTCGGTGGAATAAACTTCAAAAGATCTTCTTTAATCGTAAAATCACTAAAAACCATCCTGACGAACACGACCATCTGGGCAGTGTCAACGACATCTGTTGATACATCCAGTTGAAGTGAAAAATAAACACAGTTATCTAAGTCAGTTCTTAACTGTAAAAAAAATATCATTGCTCATTACTTCTACACGTCTCATCACTGTATTAGCAGAAAGTTGCATAGATTTTATAGCTGAAATTATTTCGTCTTTATTTCTAAAGTTGGCAAATAACGAATCAGCAGCTTCTAAAATCGCCTGTTTTATCATTTCCCCGTCTTCATAAGGTTTCTTTTTTTGTGCAATTATCTGGGACACACGGTACGATGCTTCAGTTGCAGCCTTATTTTTGTCGACTGTTCTTAAAAATATTGATTGTTGTCCAATTAACTGCTTTTGTAACTGTTCCAGTTTCTCCTTTCTGGCGGCAGAATGTAGTGGGAATGATTTTTCAAAATTAGAATGTACAGTTTTATGATGTCTCTCAATATTTCCTTTTTTAGCAACGGAGACCGAAGTATTACATAACAAACACACATTTTTATCTTTAACTTCTGTAGAAAAGTATTGTTCCTCCCATTCCGAATGAAAGTGGTATGTCTTTACCTTCTTACAACTGCTTGCCATAATATTATTTTTTGTTGTTCTCTACTAACCCAACCGCTGGAAGTTGGTTACGCGTTCAGTTTTAAACTAAGCGCAATGTCGCCGCGCCGTGCGTATTTATCCCGTTCAAAGCAATCCTGATCGTTCTCGAACACTAACGCGCTGGTCCGGCTGGTCGGTTCTAGCCGATTCTAGCTTGATGGCGTCAGCGGCAGATCGCTCACCGCAACGTTGCCGCTGTTTATATTTAATATTATGACAATTAGATTTTTTTGTGGAATTTTCGGAAGCTTCTCTGATTTTTGCAGTTTGTATTTTTTAAATTAAAATCGTTGAGAGAGCTACCAGAATTGCCTCCGCGAGCTACCGGTAGCTCGCGATCAACAGGTTGGCGACCACTGTTATAGAGGATAAAGAAATGGAAAATAAAGGCTATGAAGTTTTTATGTATGTGGACAGATCCTTATCAAATGATGAAATTAAAGAGGCAACTGAAACCCATTTAGTGAATTGTAAACTTCTTAATGTTAAACGTTTAAATAGAAGAGTTGTGGAATCCGGTAAAAAATCTCCTATGTACCAACAGGTACGGTTTATGTTACTTTTTCAGAAAAAATGATTCCTAAGGAAATTTCAATTTAGGGTCTCCCAGTCAGAGTTGTGCCATACATCACTCCAGTAATGCAATGTCATAATTGCTTGCTTTATGGACATCGTATTAATCAATGTAGAGGAAAGGCCAAATGCATACCGTGTGGTAAATCCCTTGAGTCAGATGTTACTTGCAGTAAGTATTGTATTTATTGTAAATCTACGGAATACAGTTCCAACGAGTTTATTTGTCCTGAATATAATAGACAAAAAAATATCAAGCAACTAATGTCATTTTCAAACATATCTTATTTCGAAGCCAACCAACAAAATCCAAAAAATAAAAAAAAACCCTATCCCTAATATTAATGACTTTCCGGCCCTTCCCAACAGGAATGCAAATAAAAATGGTATCCCAGTCTCCCAAAGAAGATCAGAAGCCTTGTCTAATACAAGGTTACCCACCTACAGTCAAAAAATAAGAACGCCAAAACGAAGAAGATCACATGATGATGAATATGATAAGAAAAGGCATCAAGAATGCTTAATTAGTCCATCGGGAAGATAATCTAGTCTTCCAACTCGACCACTATCCTCTCCCTTTCGGCCTGAGGAAGGAAATAATATTAAAATATACATAAGCGCCGGAACTCAAAAATTGCTTTGGGTGCCCGGACTCTATGCGAAAAATGGGGCTCCCCCCTCCACACCCCACTTGGGGTCACCACCGGTTTTTTAAAAGCACTATATAGAAGCCATTTTAAAGCGTTAATTTTAAGAAAATTTTCTTTAAAAAAAAAGGTATTGTCAAAGGTCGAATTGCTGGAGTTTTGAGGATTGAAGCGGCAGACGGGATTATCAACAATTGGTAGGCTGGAGGCTCCCCCTTAAATCGAGATATCTGGCAACCCTATATGCTCGTGCAGCCACCACTGGTATTTAGTGGCGTTGTGGTAGTAGAATACCAATGAAATAATTAGAAACACAATTTAAACAATTATTAACTATCATGAATTTAGAAGAAGATTTTTGATGATTTATTACACATATAATGGAGTATTGTATACAGGGTGTTATTGAAATACACGTACATATTAAAACTGGGTATTGCGCAGATCCCCACTGAATGTAGAAAAATATTATTTTTTAAAAATACCCCTTATTAAGGGAGTTATTAATTTTTGAAAATTAATTCTAAAACAAACGTACTTCACTGATATGTTGAGGATGACCTATATAAATTAGGTTTATTTATCTACTTTAAACATCAACAGTAATTAATATGCAAGTTTTTGTCAGATGATAAGAAAACTAGTCTTGTAAGAAATAACCATGTTGCCAAGATTTTCGAATTAATTTCTATTTCCGAAGACTGGTTTTTACTACCCTCGTTATCAAAAAACTAGAATATTTGATAAATGATTGTTTTTAAACTATACATTTTTGAAACTATAGATTATTAAAATTTTAGTTGATTTACGAATCTGGCTAACACGAGCGCGTCATTTCCAAGTTGGTAAAAAGTGTTGTTACGATTACTTTTAAATATTTTTTTACGATGCCACTATTTACGAATATTGAACTAACGGATATAGTGCTGGTTTATGGGGCAGCTGGAGAAAATTCTCGGCAAGCACAAATCCTGTATCGCGAACGGTTTCCAAATCGGAGAATTCCGGACTGTCGTACGTTTATTTCAACTGTTCAGCATCTAAGAGACCATGGAAAATTTGAGAGTGTCAATGCAGATCGAGGGAGAACAAGAACACAAAGAACATTGGCGGCCGAAGAAGAAATATTGGAAGCTGTTGAAAACCGGCCTCAATTAAGTTGTAGAAGACTAGGTCTTGAAATTGGAGTGTCCTCATTTGTTGTGTGGCGGACACTTAAAGAACAAGGTTTACATCCTTATCACATCCAAAAAGTCCAGGCCTTATATCCAGGTGATGAAGAAAAGAGAGTGGAGTTTTGTGAATGGATGATTCAAAAATGTGTTGATATTCCTGATTTTCTAAAAATATTATTGTATACTGACGAGGCTTCATTCACTCGTGATGGCGTGTTCAATGTGCACAATATGCATATTTGGAGTGATGAAAATCCTCACGCCATTAGGGAAACTGGGCATCAAAGAAAATTTTCAATAAATGTTTGGGCTGGCATAATAGATCAGTATTTAATCGGGCCTTATGTTCTCTCGAACAGATTAAATGGGCCAGGATATCTCCACTTTTTAGAAGATATTTTGCCAGTACTCCTAGAAGAGATACCGTTACAATTAAGGCAACGGATGTGGTACCTACTAGATGGCGCTCCTCCTCACTTTGATTTAAACGTACGGCAGTTTTTGAACATTAGATTTCCTCAAAAGTGGATAGGCAGAAATGGACCTACTAAGTGGCCTCCGAGATCTCCGGACTTAAATCCATGCGATTTCTTTTTGTGGGGTCACATGAAACAACTGGTTTATAATGAACCTATTAATAGTGTTGAACAATTAACCAATAAAGTTAATGCGGTAGCCGAGGAACTACGACAAAATACAAGACTAATTTCTAATGTTCAAAGTTCTTTGGAAAGACGATTGCAAGTGTGTGTAAATAATAATGGACGGCATTTTGAACAATTACTGCAATAAACTTTATTTTGAATTAATTGGTTTTGCTACGGCAACAGTGCAATTTCTATGGGTAAGTTCAATTTCGATTTATTTTACTTCTTTAAATATGGAAACTAGTAGGTCGGAAAAGGGGACTCTTCCCCAATATTTAAATTTTAGAATTTGAAGTTAAAATTGGTGCCAATCGTTTTTGGTCATTACATACTATTCCCCATTTTAATATGTACGTGTATTTCAATAACACCCTGTATATACAGCGTGACCATTTAAAAATGAAACAGCTAATTTTGGGCACCCCAGGTCATTTACGAAAAAACGCTCGGAAATGTCAATTTTTGATTTTAGGGAGAAACATTTGCTTGCTAGTTTCACCCCTGAACGGAAACCCTCTAGCAGGGATGAAACTTACCGTTCAATGGAAATAGGGGTCAAATGATATATTATTTTAAAAGTGTTTTTACCTAGATTATAACCCTAGAGTTTTAAATCGCTACTGTCTTTCTAGCCATGATCTTTTAACGATTTTTATTTTCTTTAAATGTTTACCATTTACTTGAGTAAATGCTGACCCTAGGTCTCCATGCAATAATAGATGGTTTGTTTAAAACACTCTCGGACATCAAGCATCTGTAGGGTGATTTGATGACATTCATCAATTATCCGTTGACGCAGATTTTCCAATAATGTTGGCTGGGTGGCATACATTTTAATTTTTAGGTGGCTCCATAAAAAAATTTAAAGGGGTTAGATCCGGAGAACGTGGGGACCACTTAATACTTCCTCTTCTTCCGATCCATTGACCTGGAAACGTTTGATCCAAATACTGACGAACAATCAGTGCAAAATGGGGTGAAGCACGCAATAATTCAGTTTTTCCGGATGTTGCGTAGTCACTTCAAGAAATATTCTGTGATTTGAAAGGGACCAATAACGAGAGTTGTGACGATTTAGGAAAAAAGTGTATTCGTTAGAAAAACACACCTTGAAAAGAAATTGCTGATCATTTATTGCCCGTTCAGTCATAATATCACAAAATTGTAATCGCCTATCAAAATCATCTTCGATAAGTTCTTGCACCAGATGTACTTAGTAAGAATGAAACTTGTGTTTTTTCAATATCTTCTTAATGCTACTTCTCTTAATACCAGATGTTATCGCCAACTGTCTTTTACTCAATGTGGGTTCTTGAACAACATACCCTAAAATCGTCACCTCTGTAGCTTCATTTACTATAGCATTTTCTATTTCACATTTTTTGTTAGCTACTGACCCCGTTTCCCAAAATTTTTGGACTAACTGCAAAATACACTTTCGATGGCCACAGGAATAAAACTAGAATTGCTACAAAAAATATTTTTGTTATAACAATGTTAAACTGGTTCTGTACTTTTGGTGACCCACTGTATGGGTTATGTAGATAGTAGCGATGTAAAACTCAGAAGTTTTCTTGCTAAAAATACCTTCAAAGTAAGATATCATTCGATCACTCTTTCCATTTAAGATTTTAGGGGTGAGTCTCACCCCCGCTAGAAAGTTTCCATTTAAGGGGTGAAACTGGCAAAAAATGTTTCCCCCTAAAATCAAAAATTGATAGGTCCGAGCGTTTTTTAGTAAATGACCTCGGTTACTCGCGAGCACTACTAGAGAGTTATTTCTGACTCTTAATGAACTGTCACCCAAAGACAACTCTGTTCTCTATTTACTATCTTACCCGCGATGTTAAGTAGAGCGCTGGTCATATAGAGACAAACGCATTCCTTCGAGAAGCTACCAGAGAAAACATCATAGATGACGAAATTCCAGAGTTTCTAGACGGTCGAGAATGTTCTAGTGCAGAGCTGGCTTTATATAAATAGCGCGAGTTTGTCGATAGAGGGTAAGTTTCAATTTAAGTGCTGTATAGAAAAGATAAATTGTACTTTAATTTATGGGGTTTCCGGTGGTATATTTTGAAAAGTACTCTCCTTCTTAAAGCCTAAATTGTAATTTTAAAAAAAGAGCATCTTTGCAATATTTTACCCTTTTTTCCCAGAAGCCAATGTTGCCATTAAAAACTCGACGAAATGTAAAAAATTTTAAGAAAAAACTCTTCTATATCATTGAGAATTTGTATTTTCTCTCTCGGTCTAATCGATTGTTTCGATTATGCTGAAATGTTCTAAAGTTTTAAATTTACCTGCCAAGGCCTTCACCATATAAAGGAACTAGATCAGCGACCAGAAGATCAATCATATAATTGAGCTTCGCAAAAATACTGTCGATAACTTGCAATGTAATTACTATAGTGTGTGTCTTAAAATCAATTTTGAGGACTGTTGCGATCAAACTTTTGATTCCACTGATTTGAATGTCTGAAGCTTTAAGTCCGCCGCTAAAACAAGAAACCAAAATAATTAAATACGCTATTATTTAACTAATATAACTAAGTAGATTAAAAATTATAAAGTATTTAAAACTATTGGAAATGAAAAATTCTTACCTAATCATACCAGGTTTGTTGAACGATAGGTTCATGTCTTTGATAGTCATTGGATCTGATAAATTTTTGATAATTTTATTAAGGGTGCCATTAATAATGTTGGTAATAATATCATGAAATTGTTCATTTTGTTCTGAAAATAAAAATACCATTAAATTAACTGGATACATTAATTTAAAGTCGTGCTAGTAGAAATGATAGGCATTCCGGACAAAATGGCTGCCAGTGGGTTTTGACAGGTTATGATGTGGTTATTACCGAGAATAACAACCACAGAGAAGCGACAAAGCCGTTCCCGCAAAAAAAAATGGAGTGGGGGTTAACCCAACCGCATATTCGTAGAAGGTTTCATACCTTCATTTGAAAAAACTTTTAGGCAAATTAAGCATATAAGAAATGACTGCTTTTTAGGAGAGTACGTAAATCCATATTTTAAATACTCAATACCATTGTATAAAGAACTATAGTAGGATAATCGCCATGTAAAAGTTATTGGAGGCAATCCCGCCCGCCATCTATTGGTACAATCATTGAACCAACGATTTTATTTACTGGTTAGATACGCCCTCTACGTCAGATGTTAGAACTTTATAAGTGACAATTCGGTAAAATTAATTGTCAGTATATATTTTTTTAGTTATTTAGATTAAATATAAATAAAAATTAGTGATTCTTGTAAAGAATCAATAAATAATAGCATTCCACAAGATATTCGTCTATATTTAGAAATTAACTGAGATTTTAATGAAACTAAAAGCAGTCTGATTATCAGCGTTAAAAAGTAAAACTTTTTCATAAGTCTTCATAACGAAAATTTAGAGTACTTGTCTACGAATCGAAGGGTTCCGAGTTCAAACCCCCGAGCGGACACTTTTTCTTTATTATTTAATTTTAATTTTCTAAATTGGTAAAACTTAAATTAATTTCAAAACATTAATTTTACGTTAATAATCAAATTATAATAGAATATTATAAGGTCAGGTAATTTTATTTAAATCTTTTCACAATGAAACTAAAAATGTGTGTGTCTAAAGGAGAAATATACCGAAAATAACAAGTATTTAAATTTTGCTAATACATTTGTTTTAGGTATGTGTTAAAAGAAAATACATTATTTTGGATTTGAATATACAGTGTGTCGCAAAATGTCTGCACCAAGAAAACGCACAAAATTACATTTTTCTTTAATCTACGTTAAAAAGTGCGAATTAAAATTTTTTACTAAAAATGTATGGTACCTAACAGTTATTCATTATAAATTACCCTCCCTTTATGCTATAATTATTATTGTATAATGTTTACATTGACCGAATTTTGTAAAAATGTCATCAAATGACCATATCAGTGGTGTGCATATTTCACAGGATTTAACATGAATATTTTTTAATAAGGATAGCATAGATATATATTTTATTCAATTTTCGAAATGATCTTTATTCTTTCCTGATTAATTAAACGTCGAATATCATAGATAATCTATGTCGAATATCTTATAAATATTTACACTTTTTCTTTCTCACTGTAAACTACCTATTTGGATTATTTTATTATCAAACATAATAGTTGTGATTTTCATAGCTTTTACTTTAATAATGTTAACTTTTTCATGTTTACATTATCAACGTTAAATTACTCGAGAACAGACGGTATAAGATACGGTTATCAATAATATACATTTGTGAAATTAGAAAAAAAATATCCCAGAAATTTAATAACATAGAGGGTATCCCATTTAAAAAAGTTTATTTGTCTTGTATTCCGTGAAATCTGAATACGTGTTTTTATGGTATATTTAAAAAAAGTCAGTCATATTCACAAACTTTTATTTAAAGCTTTTTTTGAATATGCAATAGTGGTTATAAAAGGTGTCTTTAATAGTGAATAATCTTGTACATATGATCTCAAATAAATTTGTTGAAATTTCATTTGTAAAAATGTCACTTACGCTTCTCCCGTATTGCTAAAAAAAATTGTGTCCAGGTCCAGGATTTGATGGTGGATAATATTAATTCTAGGTACATTTTTCAAATAACATTGTTCTCCTGTTTTTAGAAATAAAGGTTAATGTTTAGCCAAATTCATATATTTTTTTTGGACACACAGTATGTTTGTATAATATTAAAAACTTCCCCTACTAAATATTTTGGCTCAATCAAAGTAGATATCTTAAATTGATTATTGTTAGAAAAAGTAGAAATAATATTAAATATAATAAAGAAATTAAAAAAATAATTTAATTTAATAATTTGATTTAAAAATTGAAATTTTGGTTTATATGTATAAAAAATTGTAGATTTTAACTGTTTTTTTTAAGTTCTAACTTGATTTTTTGGGGATGCCACACCCTCCATCTCCCTCTAGGAGATGGTGGTGGTAAGATATTTTTACAAAAATGTTGCAAATCATTTCTATTGTAAATATGCCAAAAATAAGATTTTTATGTATTTGTAACTATTTTTAAATGCCAGCCCCCACATCCGAACTATGAAGATTAAAGTCGAAATTTTTTCTAAGATAAAAAAAAATTTTTTTCAAAAAAATTGGAATTTTGTGTTTTTATGTATAAAAAATCGTAGACTTCAACTTTTTTATTTAAAAAGTTCTAACTTAATTTTTTGGGAATGCCACCCTCACCATATCAGATAGGGGTGGGGAGGGGTGAATTTTTTAAAGCGATTTTTATTTTTATGGGATAATACATCCATATACCAAGTTTAGTTTTAATATTTCGACCCTATCCCCCAAAGCCGAACCCCAACCAATAATCCTTATAGAACCCATTGTGTTTACTTCAATATTAAGAATTCATTTATATTATTTACCAACCATCTTAAGGGTTTTTTTTTATTACATTGTTACGCACCAGATTAAAGAAATAACCTGTTGTTTATAAGTACTTAGGTATTTAAATTAAAAATACAATTTTTTCAACACTTAAGAAATGTATTATTATTGCTATTATTATTATTATAATATAATTTATTTTAAATTAATTCGGATAAAACCTGTAAAGGAAACGAAAAACAGAAGCATATTTTCTATTTTATTAATTTCAAAACAGTTATAAATACCTACACAAATTTTTTTTGGGAACTCTTCCTTTATTAACAGTAAAATAATTCAGTAATAAAACATAAACACAACTCATTCACAATACCTACTACCCGCAAACGCACTAACGCACAATAACAAACATTAGATAGAAAATAGTCCAAACATTCAATCACGAGTGTATAAAATTTCATCCAAGAGCTAAAAATAGAAATTTATCGATCGGTCTCAGTCATTCTTAAAAATTTCTGCTGGACCCTCAACTCCGCCCACTGCAAACGAATATCGACTTATCCATATTCACTAGCGCCATCTATTGGTAGTATCCATTTCGCTCCAATGAAACTTCCATAAGGTGAGACTACTATTTAGTTCTTTATACAATGTCAATACTGTACTGACGGTATTTCATTTTAGACGTGAATTCAGACATTCTGAAATGCACATTAAATTCTCAACAGATTTATAGATAGTTACAGAAATAAAATCTCATGACTATTTATCAAGGCGAAGCACATCAAAATAACAAAACATTCCTATATGTTAGCAGTTAAACAAATTTTTGTGAGATTACTAATTGTAATATAATGTAAAGAACATTGACAGTCAAGAGTGAGGAGTGCAGGGAACTGATGGCGGTAGTAACGAACCGTCGTCTGCGCTCCTCCTGGCAGAACGAATTGGGTCGCCTTGAGTGCTATAGTGAAATCAGCTGTTAGTTGATGCTCATGAATTGTTCTATTTGACTTAATTATTAATAATTTCTATTATATAGTTATCCCTTTTATAGATTTTACTTTATACACGTACTAACTTTGCGAGACCGGCGCATTTGCTTTATAATCAAATTCACACTGTTAAAAATCAAACATTAAAATTTGTACTAAATTGAAGATTGATTATTTTATTAGAGATTTGGTCGCCGAAAAAATCTTGTAACGAAATCTTATAATAAAAGGCGATTTTAATAGAGATTCGGTTGCTGAAAAATTCTTGAAATTAACTTTTATATTAAAGGCGATTAATACACTAGATCGTTAAATAACTATTAGATTTTATATACCTACATCTGTATTTTACGACTGAATAAAATTACCTGTGAGAGCAACGCTAAATTAAAAATATTGAAAATCAAAACTACGAACGAAATAAAAATATAAATAATTTCAACATTGGAGATGATTCCGGAACGGCTTAATAACGCAGTATGGTCTAAAAACGACTCAATGCGCATACTCAGTAGTGCCGCAACGAGTTGCTTTTGTCAAGAAGAGAATTTTATATGTGATTTACTGGATATAGATATATGTAAGTTATGGATGTAGGTACAGGGTTGTTCATTGTAAATTACACACACGATACACAGACTAACGGTATGCTGACTTTCGATTCAAATTTCGTCCCAACTGCGCAGTGACGTAATGCGGGACGAACTTTCAAGTTATTTTAACACTTTTCGATTGAATAGTGTAAAATAATTTAATAATTAATTTGTTTTTGTGTTAGTAGTAACTATATTTTCCTGTATATAACAGGGAAGAACTGAATTAATGTTTAGAATGCCGTGTAATGTAAGATATTTCCGAATGTCACAAAATGTTGATAAATTCTTATCGAAGAAAGGACAAACTTAATTTGAACATTGTTTAGTAAAATGCACAAGTATAATAGGTTTAGAGACATTGAAAAATTATATAATTTATATTTTTACTTTCCTATCTGTATACAGATATAAGGAAAGTATAGGAATCATGATTTTTTTCGACCTCGAGTTTTCGACGGATTTTTACGTTTTGAGGTCCCCTGAATCCGTTTTGACTATTTTCGCGATGATGTCTGTGTGTGTGTGTGTGTGTGTGTGTGTGTGTGTGTGTGTGTGTGTGTGTGTGTGTGTGTGTGTCTGTATAACGCATAACTCATGAACCGATACACGGAAAAACACCAAATTTCAAACTTAAGCTTTGTTCCAGCGTCTAATGAGCTGATTAGATTTTGGGCAGAGTCGGAACATCTGGGGGGGTACTTTATAGGTGGTCATTTTTATATTTTATGGAATATATCTGTTATTTACGTTTGGGGAAG